AGGTGTAGTCGCTCTGAAATATTTAGAATAGCTTCACGTGGAAAAACATTATGCGATGCTTTAGGTTGACTTATGAATTTACCGAACGTCACCGCGTCATTTTCCTTTCTACCAGGTGAGAAGAGAGGTCGACGATCTTCTACTGTCACATGAAATCCTTCAGATGTGGTAGGTAAGGACTAGGACTTGATTAGAGGTCCTGTGAGGAAAATCGAGATTCTGTTCGCATAAACCCAGACGCACTCAAAATATTTCTTCCTGAGAGTGATACTATGTTTCTGTTCAAATTATTACGTGATGACATTTTAGGCTTTACTCTGAACTCCCTTGAAGAATTGTTCATGAAGTTCCTATTCACAGAGGACACGTGGGCATTCCATTGATGAAGGCTTTGTTGTTTGTTGTTATTTACTTATTGCACGCCTTTAATTTCCCAGTTCCAATCCTATATTATTTTGTCAAGGAATTACATTGTTGTAAAGACGAATAGAAGTTGTACGTTATTGTCGTTTTGCTTTTGTGCTGTAGGTTGCTTATGTAAATTGTTAAATCGGCCTTTTTCCTGGCTTTACTCAATTCTTTCATTCTTTTCTCGTTATGAATATAGGTACTGGTATTTCCTAAGTCACCAGCGACTTTATTGGCTTTCGACATTCCACGAATTTGCCTTTTTCGAAGTTAAGTAAGGCAGTAAAAGTGAAAGATAACGAACGATAAGTGGAACTAACCAAAGATCCAACAACCCATCGTAGAACTCCAGAGAATGCCGTGTTCCAGTACAATGATCCAGCGATAACGTGTAGATTAAATATGAGGCCATAAGTGATGTAACTCACAGAAAACCTGAATACGACCCATTTCAGTGCCAACAAAGGAGGTCTTCGTCTACTTTGTCACTCCTTTTTTTGATTCTGTTGAAGACCTCACAGAAAACCTGAATACGACCCATTTCAGTGCCAACAAAAGAGGTCTTCGTCTACTTTGTCACTCCTTTTTTTGATTCTGTTGAAGACCTACTGCTGAACATTAGTGTTTTCAGTAGAGCTAAGTTCTACTTACATTCCAAACGATAGCACAATTGTTCGTATTGCCAACGATTTCGTTGCATACAAATGGACAAAGGTGTACTTCTTTTTCCCTTGCCGTTCTGCTTCACCCGTCATTGCGAGCGCTTTGTCCACCACGTCGTCGATCTCATCTTCAGAAAACTGGAACCACGTTTAAAGCTGCAAGCATAGTATAAAAATATCAAAGGAAACTCACCTTTCCGCTATCTCGCCTGAAACTATTCACATAGACGAGCGCCCTAACCGCTTCTGATTTTCGATGCTTTTGAATGAGGAATTTTGGGCTTTCTGGAATCCCGCTAAAAAGCTAAAAAGGCATTCGAGCAAAACTTTCAGGACATATGCCTGCTTTTTGTGATTTCTCCATTTGAAAGGAATGGTTGAAAGAAAGCCTCACAATGCTAACAGGAGGGCAGCAAGCGTTGTCACCACGTTACAAGCTCGAGCCAGTATTCTCCAGTGACCAGTGAAATATGCGAAGATTGCGAATAGGATATAATTAGGAGCCCATGTAACTACCGTACACATCCATAGACGATGTTTTGCTGGCAAACTCTCCACTACCAGAATTGTTCCAACTCTGAAAATGACATGTAACCCCTAATATGAAATGGAAGTGGTAAAATATGAGAAGTAGCCTATTTAATGATTTGCAGAGACCAGCCGATGTTGAATTCAGACCATCTTTTTTCTCGGGTGAATACAGTACTAAGTAACCGATCCTGGTGGGATGCAAGGCTATATAATAGACTGGGTGAGCACCGATCCAGAATTAGATCCTCGGACCATGCGTCTCTCATTCGCAGTTGCCACCACATAACCTCCCACAGTATCACCCCGTACTAAAGGTCCACCATCTAGGTAGTCGATGTTTCACATGCTGACCAAAGCTATTGTCTCTGTGGTGTCATTGAATGAGAAATATGGCCTCTCGAGAGCATAGAGACCCATTTATATACCTTCAGTATGTCCGTAACTTACTACTCAGGCGAAATAATCAAACAGGTTCAACTAGGACTTTAAAGAATAGTCGGGTACTTTGTGTACTTCGATCGGATGTAATTCTTGAGAAACTCGATCTATTATCCCTAATACTTGCCCTTTGAACATTCGGGGAGAATAAGGGAATAAGATCTACATTATTCTATAGCCAACAAATTTTGAAATAAAAATATTTCTAATGTATGAAGGATAATTACGTAGTCAAACCGCCACAAAACACTCCGATGAAGAATCGCATGCACACATAAAAGTCCATCGATGGAGCGAAAGACGATAAAGTTGAAAAGGCTACCATGCAGACCAAGAGAAGTAGAGTGATCTGAACAAATCTGTCTGCGATTTACATAATTAGTCAGCTTTTTATTTTTTTAAGTGTCTGGTAAATGGTTTTTTATTTCTTATTATTGTTATTGAGTGATGTATGATAATGGCTAGCCTTTCAATGCATAGTAGTTCCTGAAAAAATTTCGAATAAGGTTTTTCAATCATGTAGATTTAACTGTTGAGTTGTTTATTTAGTTATTTATTCATCGATTTTTCGCTCTATTTGATCGCTTATTTACCTATCCGTAGTGTCTTGAAAAAGAAATCTACGATACATATAACGAACCAACCGAGAAAGAAACCCACGTTTACGATCGGCCGAATTAAAGTTCGTTACGCTTAAGTCCCAAGGAAAGATAAAGGCGTTTTGAAAAAAGCTTCAAATTATTTGAATAACAATTCAGTGGTCCATCTTGTGAATGAATCACGAAAAAGAGTTGTGAGAAATCAGTCAAACTGATCCTGAGTTCAAACTGGCAAAAATGCGATTTAAACACCCTTCCGAGAAAGACTCGAGTAGGGGGAGACCGAAATAGAGATGTTCGTAAGTCTTCCTTTGAAAATTTTAAATGCTCTCTCATCTTTTACTGGCTGGCTAATCAGTCAAACTGGTACTGACTTCAGACTGGCAAAAATGCGATTTAAACACCCATCCGAGAAAGACTCGAGTAGTGGAGACCGCAATAGAGATGTTAATAAGTCTTCCTTTGAAAATTTTTAATGCTCTCTCAACCTTTACTGGTTGGCTGTCAAACTTTTGGCTTCTACCAAATTACCATTTATGCATTATGTGCAGTTGAAAATTATTTGACGTATCATAAATTGACTGGTACCTTTTTTCTGCCGTACAAATCGGATAGTTGACCAGCTATAGCGGATCCGACAATTACACCGATCATCTGAAGGGTTGTCGAAAATCTGGCTTTTGACTTGACACCAAATTTTGACAGCAAGTCATCCAGTAGTGTAGTTGGAGAACAGATATCTTGAAACTGAAAAGAATTAATTGAATTTTATGTAATGTATATTTACAAATTCCAGTCAATAATTACATGTTTTCAATATATAGTAAACTTCGAGCTCTCATAGAAGCTCCATGGATGAAAACAAGGAAGCAGCAGTAGAGAACAGAAAAATTCGAACTAGAAAACAGGAAGGAAAATCCAATTCAATTGAAACTCAGTAATAGAGATATGAATGAAGGATAGAATGGTGTTCCATTGATCACTGTTACTATGTGATAGGGCTCCGTTGTGGTGATCCGACCAATTCTTTGATTGATTTTCGATTTCTTTTGATCACACACTAATGACCTCGCGCATTTTCAGAAAGGAAAAATGATGTGTTTCACAGGTATTCCAGCCCTGGTGCGTCTTTGAAGCCTCTAGTCTCTAAGCGTTGGTAGAAGGTCTGTTTTAGGATCCATTCAGCGCCCGCACCCATTCAGAACCGTAAGGACGTTTAGATTGCGTTCGTGGCTGATATAATGACATGATGTGACCTATCAATTTGATACAAGCTAGAGCTTTTATCGCCCCAGACGGGTCTGCGACAATTTAACTAACTCCTTAGGAAAGGAAGGCTCAGTTGGTTTGTATGGGTATAGGGCTCTGATCCCGGGACCGTGTGGATAATATCGCGCCATTCGACTTTACACTACCCGATCCACTGAAGACGCCATATTGAGGACCATCAGAGGATTAACCGAGAAAGGGAGGGTGATTAGTCCCTACTCAATTATAGAGCGGCCCGTTTCACACTCCCTTGTGCGTATGTCGATCTGTTCGAGCATTTTCTCGGAGGGCTTGAAGTTTTGATAAATGCATTTTACCCAAAAATAGAGGCAAATAATCTATGACGAACGTACCATACCTCTACGTTTGTGCTGTAAAATTCGTACTCAAACATCGGCTTGTCGCAGTCTGCCACTCTGAGCATGTCACAGAATTCTTGCTGGGTACCATTGAAATGAGATCCGTCACATCCTAGCAACGAAGCATGAGCCGTTCCAAATATATTGAACACCTTAATTTACCACAGTTGTGTCGCTTACCAAATATGATGAAGTATTTGCTAGCTCCAAGAAATTTTCTGAGGAATGAAAGAAAGATATTAGCAAGGAACAACTAGCAGTGACATAAGGTTTTAACCTGCGCCATACAGCCGCCCACGGACCTGGTGAGTACCTTTTTTCGTTGCTTTAAATATACTATCGCAATCGCATCGTTAGAGTAAGTCCCCTAGACCTTGTAGGCGGTATCTCTACTAAAGTAGAGCTCATCAAATCTGATTTCTAGCGTTTTGCATTCATATTTGCAAACAGCATGGAAGTTTGAACAGCAGCCCTGTACGGTGACCCCTAACGGCGATGTGACCGCAATGGCTCCTCTTGGCCAGGTCCTTTTATTAGAATTTCGCAGTAGAGACGGAAGTTGATGGTCGAGATTCTCAAAGTCAACACTGCGGAGCATGAATCGTTATTTCCCTCCTAGAAGTAGTAGTAATCCCTTCTCATCTCGAAAAGAAATGGTTGAACCTTGAACGCGCCTTCTCTAGCAACAACTGCTTCTCCTACTATTTCTACTACTCCTGCAGGGTGAATTGGTATTTTTGTGAGTGGTCGCTGTATATCTGAGATTTCTTACCACATTTGAAAGCATTGTAAAGACGAGTGCTTCGTAAAATAGCATAAGAAGTAATTGATATCGATCAAGCACAAAAATATCATCTATCGTTCGGGGTTTTAAACTGGCCATCTTGTTGAAGTCAGTGACGACCCGAAATGTTCCTAGTCAACTGATTGCTGGTTATCTGAGGCCGTTACTGTAATCTGAAACAAATAAAAACTGTAAGTTGCATTTTGGACTTCAATCTGTGCGCTCAGAAGTGAATGTCTAGAAGGTCTCCTCACTTATGTATTATCGCATGTGAAAAACACCACTTCAAAGTTCCACAGCCAAAGCGATAAAGAGAGTTTCATTTGAAGACGATGAAAGAGTTTCCAGAGCTAGCCACCTCAACACGGTTAAGGAAATCACTAGTTTAGGGTATCAAGCTCTCTCACAAATTTCAGAAGTAAGAAGTTAAGTGAAAAAGCAATACGCGATATGAAGAAAGATGCACAAAGAGAGGCAAATCCATGTTTCAAGCAGGTCGG